GTACTGCTGTGCCAGCGCTACAGTGCATCACACGCGGTAAAATGCTTTCGGGTCATTCGTCGTCTAGTGTTTAATTTGCTGGCATAGATTTCCTTCCGGCGGCGTGCGTCGTTGGCATGTGAGCAAGGCGTCGATATGGCGGAGATATCAGGAGAGGATTTGTCGTTTGTTTTTCTCGAACAAACCTTTGCGGGCTTGAAGAAAACAAGACGGTTCCCTTTTTAGTCGGGCTGGAGTTTGGATGTATTCTAAATATATATATATATATATTTGTTATACTATATTATATTATAAATCTCATCTCAAGTGGCTTTTTTCAATCTCTGCAGCTAGTCTCCAACCCCATTGCAACATGGCGTCTGACAACCCTTCCAGGAAGCATGGAGCAGCATCAGCCCCGTCCATGCTTGTGCACATTTTGGACACCCAAGACAATCATATAAGCCCTGCAACGCAGCTCCCCTCGCGTCAGAACGTGCTTCCGCAAAGCATGGAGCAGAACTACCCCCACCCATGCTTCGTTGTGAACTGACCCGGAGCAGCCTGTAATGATGCTTGTGGTGCAACCATGTTTTCGTAACTAGCATATCAGCCGCGCAAGATCGCTCCACTCGCACAACGACGTTCTGCCGCGAACCCTCCCTTCCCCGTCCACACCCGTCTCGCTCCACACCCATGCACCTTCCACTTTATGCACCCCCCGTCTCGCTCCCAGCCCCGTCCACACCCACGCGCCTCCCGTCTCGCACCCCCTTCCTTCCATCCACAGCCCCGTCCACACCCCTCCCATCTCGCGCCCCTTTCACCCATGCCCCTCCCTTCCTTCCCCAGCCCCGTCCACACCCACGCGCCTCCCGTCTCGCGCCCCTTTCCTTCACTCACTCTTCCACTCCCACTCACACTCACACTCCTCACTCCCATTCGCAGACTCTCACTCGCTCTCACTCACACTCGCACTCACTCACCCACACTCACTCTCACACTTCGCACTACCCAGACTCACTCGCACCCACCTTCACTCTCACTCACACACTCTCATTCACTCACTCTCACTCTCACTCTCACCCTCACTCTCGCTCTCGCTCTCACACTCACTCTCTCACTCTCCCACAGTCACTCTCACACTCACCCACGCTCGCACTCACACTCACCTTCAGTCCCACTCATACTCACACTCACTCTCACCCACGCGCCTCCCGTCTCGCACCCCTTTCCTTCCATCCACAGCTCCGTCCACGCCCGCGCACCTCCCGTATTGCGCCCCTCCCTTTTCCATCCACAGCCCCGTCCACACCCATCTTCCGTCCACGACAACGCTTGCTTTGTCTCGCTCTTCCGTGGCACTAGCGACTAAACGAGAACCCAAGCATCGGAGATGCTTTTGGGAAAAAGGCACAAACAGGAGCAAAAACAAGAAAAGAGGACTCACAAAGAAGCAATGAACAGCAAGGGAAAGCAACACAAGCACAGAAAAGCAGGAAAAGCAAAGAAGCCGTGAGAAGCAAGGAAAAGCAACACAAGCGCAGAAACATCCAAAAAACAAAAAACAAACAAAGTTAAATAATGTTATACAAATACCCCTTCCTGCTTATCTCAGGCTGACCTGGCGCCCTGACTGACTTCAAACTAAAATAACCATAATCTATAGCGCCTTGCAAGCTCTTTGTCGTCTCCCTTTTGCACAATCTGCAGTCCAATGACCTCAAATGGCCGCAGTCGAAGACTGGCATAAACATAAGGGACACATGCCATACCGAACTATTTTCTGGAGCCTGTCCGTCTCTTAGCCAACACTCTGTTGAGAACGACAGTTGCCAGCAGCCATCTCTCCGAAACAAACTATTGAATGTCTGGCGTGGTCAATAGCATTGAGCCGTGCAGCATCAAGGCCCATCAAACCAAGAGTTAGCCCAGAGAAAAGGCCAGAGAGCATGACCAGGAACCTGCCAAGGGCTGGTTTTGGAGACGAATGTGGACAGGATCCAACCCAAGTTGCAGTTGCCCCAAGTCTTTGGCATTGTCCTACTTACAACAGCTCTTTGCCAGGGCTGCAAATCATTCTGCAAGCCCAGGTCAAACAAATCAAAACAACGTGTCATATTTTCACATGACTTTTAGCCTAAGCATCTATAAACACAAACAACAAAACCTGCTAAAACATGTGGATGTAAATGCAACTGCATCGCATGCTTGACGCTGACCAACAAATATAGCATAATTATGTATATATATATATATATTTGTGTAACCTTTGTAAAACATACCGTCTCTGAACATTGACATACAGTCATGCATTGCATTGCATTAGACTAAACTACATCCCATTACAAAAAGTAAAATTGTTTTACATACTCACAGCACATGCAGGTACCTGTTACACAGCCCAACACACCATATACAGTACAAGTACTGCATAATACACATGCGTGCACGCATACAATGTGTTGGGAAAAGCTCCCCTGGTTAAACACGCTCTGGCCGTTAGGGGTTGTGTGTTTTGACGTGGTCTTTTCAGTTTTGTGAATTCTGAAAGCTTCAACGATGCGGTGTTCATATTTCGCAGTGTCACTACAGCAAGAAACCGAGAGATTCAGCAGCCTGCGTGTTTGTCACGACACTCTGCAGCATCTCGGCTTCTCTTAATACCCTTTTAAGGTTCGTGAGTTTGGCATTTCTGATTTCTGAGCGGCTGAAATGCATACTGTACAGTATTCATTTTCATCCAAACCAGTGGGTTGGAGCAAAGAGCAAGCTTGCATGTGATCTTGGGCTTGAACTGCTTGAAGAACACCCCACAAAACCAACACCTGTGTGTGGCTGCCAACCGGTAGTTACATGCACCGTAATTACATGTTACTAATGCGTGTTGCTAACCCTGCAGTGTCAGCACTTTGTCCCCTCACCCCTCCGAACAAATTCCTACACAAAGCAACGTCATGTTTGTGCAAGCGTTGCGATTCAACATCGCGTTATTTGCAATGGCGTTGGACGTCCCGACTTTGCCCGCCCATGAGAAAGCAAGTTCCTACACGAAGCATTATAGTTGTACCTTGTGGAAATGTGAGAGGCCAAAAACATCAAACACTTACGTGAATCACAGGCCGCTTGTAGGCGCCGACGTTCGGAACATGCCGTCCGAAGCAACAAGACGTGGCAGAACAACCACCCGACCCACACCATGATCACCATGGATTTAATGTCAGCTTACGTCTCGCATGACGTTCCAAAACGTGCCAGGCTAAACTCAATTATGTGCAGCACTTGCCAAACTTGCCACAGGAACGCGATGATTGGCAAGGAGGCATAAAATGGAAGTATCGGTTCCACTTCCTCAACCTGCACAGCGGGTGAAAAGCTTGCAACATGGATTGTGTATAGTGTCCAAAAGAATCCAGGGAGAGACCTCTTGGCTTCAAATGGCTCTCACTGCAGTTAGTATACCTGAAATATCTTAAATCATGAATTGCAGCGGACTAGCCGCTGTGCTCAATCCATCCACCTCCGTGACGTTGCTCCGGCAATATTCTGCTTAACACATTTCCATGCCGACGAGGGTTAGTATTAGTTTGTTCCTAGCAGCTTCTTGCCCCCAGTAGTAAGGGCAGGAGCCCCTAGTAGCGTCCTTGCTCCTAGTAGCGATGCCAGGAGCCCCTAGTAGCGATGCCCTTGCTCCTAGTAGCTTCCTAGTTGCGATGAGGCTTCGGTTTCGTCTACTCTTGACTCACCGCTGCTCACGCTTCAGCCTGCCTCGCAGGGTGTGGAGTTTTGTCCTGCAGCCTGCGGCACGCACCCATGTTTGATTCTCCTCTTTTGGGGGAATTGCCAGGAGTTGGTTGCAATGAAACTTGGGCTATGTGTGTGGAATAGGAGGCGCTGCCTGCCAAACTGCTGACAGGATGATCACTAACGCCAAAGGGTGTGTAGCACTTACCTGGCACAGCTGGGCAATGCGGAAGAACTACAAGCGCCCATTGCCCATGCCAGGAGAATGAGCACCCTTGAGAGCCTTCCAAAACAAACCGACAAAATCTGGCATGGGCAGAATCTCAAAGAGTGGTAAAGTTGCTGAGAGAGATATTTTAACTTGAGAGAGGAGGGGGGTGAACGAAAGGTAGCAGGGAATCAGGCGTAATCCGGGAGGATCACCTCCGCAAACAGGACGAGCTCAAAAACACTGGTATTTACGAGGTTTTGTTGCCGTCGATCCACAGCCGCGGCAAGGTCTAAGGCCACGCTTGAAGACAGGAGGGGCTGAAAACACTAGTATTTACGGTGTTTTGTAGCCGTCGATCCAGAGGCGCACCACGGTTGTGTGCTGGAAAAGCGCAGAAAACCGTGTAAATACCGGCGTTTTCTGCCGGGAAGGTGCACAAAACCCTGTAAATACCATAGTTTTGTGCAATTTTGAAGCCTCCAAAAGCCTCAAAAACCCTTTCCGACAAAATCTTTCCTGGTTTTTGGTCTTTTTTCGGTCATTTTTCTAACCGAGATGCATCAAAAACCATCGGTTTTTGCGGTGTTTTTTGCCGGACAGCCACAAAAAACACTGTAAATTCCATGATTTTTGGTCACTGTTGAGGACTGGAAGAGCTGAAAACACTGGTATTTACAGTGTTTACTGGTATTTACAGTGTTTTCGAACTGTTGACCCCGGAAAGGGGGGGGCCCGGCCAGCAAACGAAGATGTCGGGGACCATTTCTCAGTGAGATAGGCTCCGGCTCTGGGTATAATACATTTTTGCTAAAGCAAAAGGAAAACTCAGGTAGCGTAACCGCTACCTTTCGTGATATTGGAAACATTTTGTGCAGGTCTTATTGAAGCTTCATGACACTGCATTACTAGGTGGAATGTCAGTTGATCCAGCAATAAAGCTTCGTCTCAGCATCTCGCAAGACTCGACCTCTGTCTGTTGTGCATGACGGCCACAGAACATGAAAGCCGCAGTGCATATGCTAAGCCGGGGTCAATGTGGCGAAGCAGTGGAACCAAACCGCGGAACTCAACAAAGCAAAGCCCTTGCTCCCTTTTTTTGCTCAATCATTTCAGTCATAGCGCTCATTTTGGGAAGTGGTGGCCCACTAAAATAGGAATAACCCACGAAGCCGGCCTTACTGCGATCAAGCAAGGAAAGCAATTTAGTTAGTAGATGAAGAAGCAACTATGGCCAAACAAACGCGTTTATTAACATGTTCATGATCCTGCGCAAACTACTGTATAGACTACAAATACACACACACACATATATATATATATAAATATCAAAATACCTTCGGCAATTGGAGATTGAGCTCTTGCCAGGCCCCCTGCCAGTGCCAATGTGTAGCCTTCAACAAACTAGCAAGAGCAATTTTTTCAGCAACATCGGTGTGAACATTCTAGCCTCAGACCTCCTGCTTGTGTTGCTGCAATTTGCTCCCCGAGAACAAAGGCCCCATACCTTACCGGTAAATACCGGTATCACTTCGTACTTGGCACTGACCTACCTTCTGTGCTAAAGTGCATAGTGACCGTTCGATCCTAGGCAAAGCTCTCGCACAAGGACAAAGCACAAAAGAGCACAAACTGCCAGGATGCAACACAAGCGCAATGTTTCGGAGTGTCGTCCTCAGATCGTCTCACTGGTGTGTGTGAAGTTGTCATGGCTTGGCAAAGCACAGGTGCTTTCCACTAGCTGCTATTCCTGTTTTTTTGCTTGAAGTTTTAGGGTTCATCCTTGTTGCTCCGGGACTTGCAGTGGATAGCCAGTTTAGTTTCACATTAGAATGTTAGAAGCCGCAATCAAGCTCAATAATGAATCGTCAAGACACATCACCTTTAGGCTTAAGGCACCGCAGAACTTTATCACCAAGTAACCTAGGCGAGGCAAATCGGGCCTAGTAAGTGCCCAACCACAGTTGCCAACATTGCCGCAGTCCTAGTCGAAGTTCTATCTTGCTAACCCCTGCTCTTTGTGCAAACCTCCGTGCATCTCGTTTTAAATCTTTTTGCGAGAGTCTGAGATCGGCCACCACTGCCTAAGTTGAGTGGCTTTGTGGTCCTGTCATGCATCGTTGTCCGGCACTATTTCAACCTGATTGGCATTCACGCGTCGGAGGAACAAATCAACGCTGGTGCCGTAGCCAGGTAAAGAAACAAGTTTCAGGGTTCCGCCGAAATATCGAGCGTACAGCCGTGATAGTGGAAGGCCAATACCATACCCTGCCAAAGACGTCGCTGTGTCAGCATAGCCTTTACTGCTTTTGCCTTTGCCGGCAGTAGTGTACAAATATGACCATACCTTTTGCCCTACACCGAATGGAATCCCACGGGCTCTGTCACACACACGGATGGCAACTTCATGGTCATCAGCACAAACAATCACCTCAATTGGCCGCTTCTGCACCTCTCGGTCTGACTTGGCAACTTCTGCAGTTGCACGGCAGCTGTTTTTGAGCACTTCCGTCATGATGAATCGCAAAAAGCCTGGAATGTATGAAAAGCGTGGAACAGCTTTGTCATGAAACTCTTTGACCTCAATCTTTGGAGTGCGACCTGTGTGCTCTTCAGTGATCTCCTGTACATGCATTGCTGTTTCGCGACAAATTTGGGCAATATCGCAGTCTGGGTCTACAATACCGGCAAGTTTTTGAGGCTTTGTGTCAGACTCCATTATCACGCAGGCCAAATATTGGGACATTAGCATTTCTGTTCCAATGCAGTTCAAAAGAAAGTTGTCCAACCACGGGTCTATGAATTCACTCGTAAAATCATCTCCACGCTGTGTGTGCAGCCGATGCATGGCAAGGGCCACTTTCAAGCGCACTGGCTGCTGCTTTTGCATAGCGCGCTCTACAACTGCAGTGAAGGCATCGAGTGTCGGCTTCCGTTGCACCAGCCGAAAGTCCCTGAAGACGTGTACATGGGCATCCTCGATCTCAACTAATTCAGGAATATCCTGCCAGTTCTCGATCTCTCGAATCCAGCGGATTCGCTCCGCAATTCGAATCGGAACCTCAACATGCAAAAACTTGGCAATGCGTTGTGGGTCCAGCATGTCCAGAACCTCCTGCATGCTTAAGGGTCTTGGTTGCATTGGAGCAAAGGAGTCCAGCTCTTGTTGGATGAACTCTTCAACATCGCTCTCAGCTACTTGTGGAACAATCCTAGGATCGCAGAAAGCACACAGAAAGTGCGATAAAGATTTTTGCGTAAAGTGCCAACAAATACGGACAAGCATAATCAAATGTATATACTGTATATATATATATTTAACAACAATAATAATAATGAACACTAAAACGATCTATATAAAAAGGACAAAAAGGAATCGTAAAGAACTACTTTTTCAGCAAGCATCATGCTGCCCCGTTCCCACGGCACTTGACCATCCCAGCTCGAGGGGCCATACTTTCGCTTCAATGCTTTGGCAACTGAGGTTGACGGGTCAACACGCTCCACCTGCCATCTGTTCGTGACCGTTTGAAAGTGGCAGGGATTGGCAGGGCCACCATTCAAGAATGAACCTTCGGGTCAAACACTTCAGATGCCGGCAAACACACACACACACTTTAAAAAGCACATTTGAGCCTTTTCACTCTTCACCTCAAAGCAACATCACATCGAATTTAAGTCCTCACGGTCGTGACGGAGATGCCCTGTATTTAGTCGGTGAATTAAGCACTCCAATTTCTTAGTTTCCTGGAGGTAACGTGCCCCATCCACAGGGTGGTTTGTATTGCGTGGTGTGGAGTGGCCATGCTTTGAAAGTCTATTGGGAAGGGATCCTCGTCTTCCAACATCAAGCATTTCTGTGCGGGAGGAACTGTCCAGCGCACACAGATTGATCTCTGGACAGGTCAACCACGCCTGTATGAGTGGTGCTTGCAGCCTTCTTGAAGTTGCAAAGCACTTCAATGCATCTTGCTTCAAGCGCGACATGGCTCTCTTGCACGTAAGGGCCATATGAGCTTTACTGTGCGGGGGCCAGGCAATCTTAAGAGGCTTCTCTTCACTGTGCTGTGCCAATGACTGATGAATTGATCCTCTGGTGCGCTGATGATTGTTCAGCTCTGAGTCTTGATTCCATGCGCTCCGTGTGCTGTGCGGCCGACTGTTCCGAGAAGTGCACGTCTCCCAAATCACACAAATTGCATAAAACAAACACACACAATGAGAATCAGTTTCCGGCCAAACAAGTTTATTCTTTCCACAAAACGCCCGCACATCTGCGCCAGGAGGCTAGAGTAGTTGACCACAGTGCCCAGGCCAGCCTGTGGTCAGCTGCTGAGTCACAGTCAGTCCAGTGTAGGTGCTTTGACATGTTTATCTTGGCCCGGCAATGTCATTAACATGCTTGGTAGCCCGAATCCCTTTCCACATGGGCGCGGCTGAAATTCAAAAATCCACGGGGTTTCTGCAAGGCGGCATGATTGCACAGTTTATGCCCAGGCCAAGGCTGCCATTTGACAACTTGATGCATGTCTGTACATCTACACAACACTCTTGACCCTCGCAAGATTGCAGGAGTACCATAATAAGTACATGTATATAGTATACACACGTATGTATATTGAGTATCCTGTATCTTTGGTATTCTTTTCCAGTCTTAAGATACACAACAATTTACACAGCTTCCAGACCGCAAAGGGCCCCAAAAAGTAAGACATCTGTGGCAAATAAGGAGAGGTATTTTGGGTTGAGCTGCGCAAGTGCATTTCCTGTTGCAAAAGGATGAACTTGCATTTGTAATTTGACTTGTGTGATCTACTTGTCTTACAGGGGCTTTCCGGCTTGCAGTTTGAGTTGGGGCTGCCTTGTGAAGTCAAACCAAGTGATCAATCTACCTGGCCAGAACCACAACAACATGGAGCCCACGAACCCGAATGCAAACACGTTCAAAAAGCTACATATGTCCAAATGACACTCTTGTAGGACGCTCTTGTGGGACACTCTTGTGGGTCACTCTTGTAGGAAACTCTTGTGGGACACTCTTACGGGACACTCTTGTGGGACACTCTTGTGGGACACTACTGTGGGACACTCTAGTAGGAAACTCTTGTGGGACACTCTTGTAGGACACTCTTGTGGGATACTCCTGTAGGACCCTCTTGTGGGACACTCTTGTGGGGCACTCTTGTGGGACACTGTTGTAGGAAGCTCTTGTGGGACACTCTTGTAGGACACTCTTGTGGGACACTGTCGCGGGACACTCTTGTGGGACGCTCTTAAGGGACACTCTTGTGAGACACTCTTGTGGGACACTCTTGTGGGACACTCTTGTGGGACATTCTTGTGGGACACTCTTGTGGGACACTCTTGTGGGACGCTCTTGCAGGACACTCTTGTGGGACACTCTTGTGGGACACTCTTGTGGGACACTCTTGTGGGACACTCTCGTGGGACACTCCTGTGGGACACTCATTTGGGACACTCTTGTGGGACACTCTTGTGGGACACTCTTGAAAGGCACTCTTGTGGACACCTTTGTGGGTCACTCTTGTAGGAAACTCTTGTGGGACACTCTTGTGGGACACTCCTGTAGGACACTCTTGTGGGATAATCTTGTGGGACACTCTTGTGGGACACTCCTGTAGGACACTCTTGTGGGATACTCTTGTGGGACACTCTTGTGGGACACACTCTTGTGGGACACTGTTGCGGGACACTCTTGTGGGACACTCTTAAGGGACACTCTTGTGAGACACTCTTGCGGGACACTGTTGCGGGACACTCTTGTGGGACACTCCTGTGGGACACTCATTTGGGACACTCTTGCGGGACACTCTTGTGGGACATTCTTGTGGGACACTCTTAAGGGACACTCTCGTGAGACACTCTTGCGGGACACTCTTGCGGGACACTCTTGTGGGACACTCCTGTGGGACACTCATTTGGGACACTCTTGCGGGACACTCTTGTGGGACACTCTTGTAGGACACTCTTGTGGGA